AATGTTTTGCATTCTCCATGCAGAGTAAATGACGTGCTGCCTCCCTAGCTGCGCACGCGCGCATTGTGTTGTAAAGTGCCGCACACTGGTCTATGCTACATTCAGCTTACCGATTCCGACGCTTCTATTCAAGCGTGATTCGACAGTTCCTGACGAGCAAATGCTCGTCAGCAACTGACGCTTAGCCCCTCCTGCATCAAATACGTCGGAAAGAAGGTTTTCCCATTGTGACTTCTGCTCAAAAGAAAACCATAGATTTTCATAAATTCTTAAATTGTCGGACATAGCCCGGCAAATTCAGGCGATTGATTAATTTGTTCTATCCAAAGATCACTAGAACTGCTGATAAATTTAAAATAGCTCCCTGAGAAGCGCGTCGCGCATTATCCACCATTTGGGTTCCCAAAATTAAACATATAGAAACGGTAGTGATTCATATCAGGTGTATACCTCATTTTTTAAAACGCTGATGTGACATCGACTTACTGGATTTAGGACTTCGATCGCGAGGGGGCCTCGCACGCTTCGCGTCGACCGGGTGAATAAGCAGGAATTTAATTGAAACGACTCCGGAAGCTAGCCACCGCTTCTTGCTGCCAGTTATTGTAGGAAAATCTTTGTTTACTGGTTTACACAGTTCAAAAAGGAATAAATTCGGAACTAACAATAAGATACCAGCAGTCAGAGAACACATTGAAGCCGACAGCATACACGGAGTCGCTTTCACTGAAGTGTTTACTACCCACGCGAGAGGTTTTCGAATTTCGCTTTCCTATTTTCAATTTGATGGGACATTTCTTTCTCAGTTTTATTTTGTCTGAATCATAAAAAAAATATATATATATATATATATACACCTTATTCGCCGGGTTAGATATTTTAGTGGGGTGAAGCGCTGGATATTCTATTTTTATCATCCATCTTTTTGTTATGGGGTACAAAACAGCACACCACCATCCCAGCGCTTCGACACCTCAGCGCCAAAAGTGTTTGTCAGCACGACGCCACGGTTTCAAGCTTTGATAAAATGTCCTACTACAGATGTCAATCCACCAAATAAACACAAGGCGTGAAACAGGCCGCGCGTTACCCAAAACGCGCATGAAGCGAGCTGACGAGCCGAGGGATCCAAGATCTGCGCGGTCTGTCCCAGTCTGTCCTACCCGTGACGTCAAAAACGATGATGATGATAGCTAGAAAAGCGCCCCCTGCAGTTCGCGCACGCCGCTTGGCGGCAGAAAGGTACTTTTATGACGTAACGACTGGTCGGAGGTTGTTCGTGCTTTCTCGCGTTTAATTACATACTCGGGAAAAAAGACGAGCGTGATATTCAGATTCACGGGATAAAAATACCCTAAAATTCACCTCTAACTCGTTTTTTTTTCTTTTTTTTTTTATCTCAGTCACACCTAACCGCGGTTAATTAAGTGTGCCCGTGCAAATTATTGCATAAGTAGTTTTTATAAGGACCGTGCTAGAAGACATCAACAGAAGACCGAACTTTTTTTCTTTCTTTTTTTACACGTGCGACGGTAAACTTTTTACACCTTCCCGCAAATACACCACCGAAAAGAAAAAAAAAAAAAAAGAATGTCGAGACGAGGAACGGAACAGTTGCTTCACGGAACGCCGCGTACGCTACGCAAATAGCGCCGACACCTCGCCGCAGATAGCGACGACGACGACGACGTCAGAGAATGAATGCAGCACAATCGCGTTCCGACAAGGAGCACACATCACTTAAGGCTTGGGATGACGTCACCGGCTTGTCCTCGTTCTTGCCAGGGTAGCGCCTTATCGGGACGCACAATGAGACGCGAGCTGGGGTGTATACACAGCTCTCGTTTCATTCGCCACTCGAGCATACGGTGGTACATCGAGCATTTTTCAGACTGTGCACGAGTCGTCGTGCACACGTAGAATTCATAATTCCCCGAGTTCCACTAGAGCGGCAAACAAAAAGAAACGACAGCGACAAGCCTCAAACACGTGCGGTATGCTTGCGATGGTAGTATCTTTGGCAGGCGTTTAGTCGTTCGGTGCTCGTGAAGTATAAGCACGATTGTTTGCAAGCCTGCCAAAGATACCCTCGCGTGCATGATGATCGTGTTTGAGCATAGTCTCCTTGATTCTACAAAGCCTGTCAAGTCGCGAAGGACTCTAGTTTGAGGCTTGTCGCTGTCATTTGTTTCTGTTTGTCGCCCTAGTGAAACTCGGGTATAATAGACATTCCACCGAGACCCACTTAGCCATTGCAAAATGACAGCCAATGACAACTTAACAAAAGCCGGGTGTGGCGAACACCGAGCACCAAATTATCATCACTCTGTATTCAACAAAACTGCGGTATATTAACCGATAAAAACGCCAAAAAACAAATCACGGAGGAAAAAAAAAAAAAAAAAAAACAACCCCCCCCCCCCAAAAAAAAAAAAAAAAACAAACGTGAACGTAAGAGGCTACGACGCGGCTGCCTTTCGTTCTTTAAGTTGTCGGTTTCTAGAAGCGGCTCAGCAAAGCGAGAAGCTTTGTTATCGGAGGACTTTGTTTAGTTGTTTCTTGTGGGTTTGTTTAGAGAGCGAGTATTTATAGTCAAACCCAGCAAACCATTTTCAAAACCTCATCAAGCAACACTGGCCATCGCCATTTCTGGGGCACAAAGCGTGTGACTGGATCCGAGTTCTCGCCGAACGCTGACGTCACACTCGTGTCCAATAGATGCTCAAAACACGTGCCCAAACAAGGACGAACTCGGATAGTTGGTGAAGCAGCTACTAGATGGCGCGCAGTTCTGAAAAGGGTCTATGGGCGTCTGGTGCCTTCGCTGTATATTAGACATGTAACCGGTGCACCGCATTGCTACTCGGGGGTCTTTAGCGAGCGACACACGCAGTATTGACGCACGACCACACGCCGGTATACGAGGCTCATCCAGGTCAAAACAAAGATTAAATGTTTTTCTTTCGCAGTTTGCATTACGCCGCGGGGCGGTGCACAGCAGCCAGACTCCGTGTGTTCCTGAGGACACCCGTCTCTCTGTCCCAGTCTGTCCTACCCGTGACGTCAGAAACGATGATGATGATAGCCAGGAAAGCGCCCCCTGTAGCATCTTTATAGATGCTGCTGTGCCCAAACCAACGTTACTAAAACACTCAGTTAGGAAACTCGCCGTCGAAACCCGGGCCGCTGGCGTCCACGAAACCGAGCTAAATGCGACAACAGCGCCACTCCTTATCATTTGTCTGTACTGTGGTCACCTTGAGCTTTTAGAAAGCACGTTTTTGCGTAAAAACAAACGGAAAAGACTCTTTCTGTATGAAATTTATTGGAGTTTTGTGCAAAATGAAGGGCGCGTGATGTTTTCTAAAATCTTTAGTTTGCAAGGTTTTGCGGCACAATTATTATTGTTTTTATACAACCATGCCTCAGCGGTGCTTTCAAGTAGCGCGTCCCGACCTAGGTGCATTCTGACTTCGGTAGTAAGACGCGGCACGACCGCTGGGGAGACGGGGTGGCAGCCTCGTAACCTCTTCCGCTGTGTCTGTTTTGGCGCCAAAATGGCCGATTAGAGCCAAAATAGACGTCACGTGCAGTTCCGGGAGTGGCCGCTGCGGGAGAAATGGCAGCGTTGTGTTCGCTATTAGCTCGGTGCTCGAGGACAGATCGGGGACACTTTTTCAGAGGGGTCTCTATGGCAGTTTCCCAACTGAGTGGTTTAGTAACGTTGGCCCAAACGGACACCGAGCGACGTTTGCTTATCTGCACTCCAGGCTCAGCAAATGTCAAGTAATACAAACAATTTTTTTTTTGTTGCACTAAATGTTTTTATGAAGTGGTGAGAAGTTATATAAATGCGATTTTTGCTGCTTGTTCATATGGCTCTACTGTAACCATTACTATTATCAAACTAATTAATTAAAATTGTTTATTTTATTTTTAATTGCTGTAAATCGGATATATGTTTATATTACAAACTTTGAGGCGGTAGTATGCCAAGGCTTTCATTTTGTATTCCGCGATATTCGTCCCGAATTTCGCGCTTTTATCGGGCTAATGTAGCAAAGTTCGGTTATAGTGCCGACTTTCGTGGGTTTGCCGGATCGAGTGCAAAAAAGTCGGATTAAATATCAAATTCCGGGGCAGATATCTCGCCGGTAACACGAATTCTACGAAATGGAACAGTCTTGGCATACGACCGCTTCGAAGTTTGTAATATAAACATATATCCTAATTACAGTAATTAACAAGTTAATTAAAGAATTTGAGTTCATTAATTAATAGTATGGGTTATATTCCTGTCTAATGTCAGCCGAGTCATATAAACACGCAGTGAAAACCGTATTCATATAACTTCTCCCCTTTTAATAAAAAAAAAAAATTGGTGCAGCTACAAAAGAACACAACACCCTGTATAGCTTCTCCAAATCACCCTCCCCCCAATAAAATGACTGATTTGATTCTCACCGCAACAAGCATTCGCATGTATACCTCTCAGACAGCATCGTTCTAGTGCGGTACTCTGGTTGCAAAAATAAATACAGGAATCGCGAGAACGTCTATTCTTTTCCCTCTACACGGTTTGTATTGATCCATTAAAGGGTTTGTATTGATCCATTAGAGGCTCCCCCCCCCCCCCCGTACTTAGCGTAAACATAAAAGAAAAAAAACTTACATAAGTATGTCTACTTTCTTGCAAACCACTGGGGGAGAACTAATCGCTGTAATATACGGCGAAAGACAAAATATGTCGACCTAAAAGAAGAAGAGGAAAAAAAAGACAGCTTGTTTTGTTACACTGCATGACGCCTAACCTGGTTACGTCGAACTCAGTGTCATAGCGCAGAATGTATTTTTATTTTCATGTCTGAGCACATTCGCCCTCTGAAGATTGCAGAGATTGACTCCTCCAAGTGCTTTGAGGGAAAGTATACCCACGCGATTTCTTAGAGTGTAACGTTTTACTTCAAAAACGTCAAAAAGAAAACAGAAAAAAATCTTACCAGTGAGCGCTACCTCTTCATAGGCAGGTGAGTTGATCATGGGGAAGCCCTGCAAAGCAAGAAGAAGAAAAAAATGCAAAGGTTAGGTTAAAGAAAGAAATCGATAGAACATAAATATACAGACCCGAAACTACTTTGCTAACATTTTGGGAAGCAAATGCGAACCTCAGGATCGATCCACATATCCACAAATAACTGCGTAGCTTTAGAAACGCTTCGAGGTTCGATGTCGAATATACATGCATGCTGACGTAACAAGGGACAGACGCACGTGGTCGCCATTCAGTTTATAAACTGAGATTACCACGCAGGGGAAATTCAGAAACAGTCGAGGTCCGAAACAAGTGTTATACATATATATATATATATACCTATATATCACGGGCACTTTTTGGCTTTCGGCGGGTTCGTAAAACTTTGATTCATTTGATTAAGTACGGTTCATTCACCTGCATATGTTCGTTTGCACACACACACACACACACACACACACACACACACACACACACACACACACACACACACACACACACACATATATATATATATATCAGCATAAAAATCCGAAAACCAGAGTGCAGCCCATAACCTGTAACGAAACACTAACCGACCAACCGGCTGGTTATGTTACTATTTGGAAAAATAAGGGTCTGTGAGTTCGCTTTCCTGCAGAACACGACACAAGCAGTTGCGGCAAACAGTACCAGGGTCCCAGCGAATGATACGATGAGACAAAAATGGGCGTGCGCAGAGGCAATGATTATGACGTTTCACTTCTTCCTTGCTGTGATTGGCTGTCTTCATGTTCTAAAAAGTTTGAAAGGGCATAGAGCTATCAAAAGACATTGCCAGGAGGACGCACCCACTTCTTTATATATATACAACGATAACATTCATTATCGGGTGACTTCGAAATATTAAAAAAACAAAAAACAAAGTCGCGCGCTTCTCGTGGTATAGATATGCGCGAACACAAATTCGTCGTTTACCTGCTCATACAAAGCAGCGATAACGCCGACTTTTACGGCGCGACTGGTTGCCTCGGATAAGTAAATACAACCTGACACGTAGTTTTAAAAAAACCTTTCACTTGCAAAAAAACAAAAAAAAAACAAAAAAAACGGCAATCGTTTGATATTGCATGTTGTCTGGGGCTCAAAACACTATGCTCCGTTTCACTCGGTAAGTGTCCAATAATCCTATGTTTCTTTTTTTGTTTTTGTGCGTGATTGAGTTTAGCCGGGCAAAGGCACAAAGACGGCGAGTGTCGTGACGAAGCCCTTTTGGCGCTGCCTGATTCTCGCTTCATCGGGCCCTAGCGGTCGGCTGCGGTCGGATTTAGCGAGAAACGGAGTCTCTGATGTTACGTCTCCAGCTTTTAATTTCGCTTCTGCTCTGCGGTGTCCACACGTGAAGTGAGGCTCGAAGATTGATCGGCAGCCGCTCCTTTGGGATCGGGAAAACTAGGTGCCGTTCCCGTGGATTCATAGCTGTGAGCTCGCTTCACTTGGAGAAAGGATTTAAAGTGCCGTTTGGCACGCTTCAAACTGATGACGTCGGCTCGCTCCGTGGGACAGTTAGTGCTTTCGCATTAATAATAATGATAGCAAGCACCGTTTGTTCTTTGTCCCTTTTGTTCCCCTTCTCCAGGGCTTACTATCGTTATTATGTCAAACACACACACACACACACACATATATATATATATACAGGGTGAGAATGAGACTTCAAAATCGTCGATAAAAGCAATCCATTTGAAGTCCTTCCGTTTTTTTTTATGTTATCTTTTTCGAGAGCAGGATGATAATTCACGAAACCGGTACAATCATCTAATAGAAAAAAAAAAAAAAAAAATAGAGTAGAAACATTTTAATTAACGCGCATTGGGTACTTGCTGTGTTCTGGTCACTGAGATTCGAAGGTCTGTTACAGCTAATCTTAATTAATGGGTAGCAAAAATAGGATCCGTACGTTATCGCTCAATTTCTAACAATAAAAAAAAACTTTCACTGTGTTGTGTGTACGTTTAGACAGCGGGACGTTAGCTGCGGCCCCTATGGGCATCTGGTGCCTCCTCTGTATCCAGGACATTTTAATTTTATACCGCTGCTAACCCGTGCGGCCTTTAACGCGCACCCCGCAGTAGCGATACCCGACCGCACATCGCTACGATACGCAGTCCAGGTCGAAACGGGCATGGACGGGGATTGGACTCAGGATCCCTGGGTTCTGCAGCGCGAGCCTTCGCTCCACGTGCTCCGAGCTGCGTGCGATGCGTGAGCACACTCGGCCACCGATCCCCGCCCCTGACAATGCACTTGCATGTAGATAAAAAGTAACACGAAAGCGTAATGAACAAAAACCAAGGCACTGCAACGGCGGCATGCGACCTCATGTCGACTGCTATATAGACAGCGCGTCCATTTACGTTGCGCATACAGTATATATTTGGTATCCCTAAGAGGATTCCCGGGGAAAACTACGGGACGTCGATGTTGCGCTAAGAGATTTATGGCGAAATCCGCAGGTGGATTTGGAGCGAACGGAAAGCGCTCTGCGCTCGCGCTTTCGGGGCAGTAAAAGCCAGGTCGCGGGCTCGCACGCGCACAAAGACACGGAAAAGGGGGGGGGGGGGGGGGGGGGGGGGGGCGGGCTGTTAAGACCCCTCGAAATCCATCAATGGATTTCGCCATTAGCTCCTTGAAAGTGCCTCTTTTCGGGGACATAGGACACTTTTCCCGCGTTCACCGCCATTCCGGCCTTGTTTGTGTACTCGCGGACAGGTTAAGAAATACAGGGCGTGGCCGTATGTTCACGTACCGTACTTTGTGTTTCTAATCGGTTAATGCTCTTTGGCCGTGGAGCGAGCACAATAAGCTACTCCCTGAGTTTCTTAACATGTCGGTGACTCCGATTTCGATCGAGACGATGCGAACGCTCGTGGCTATGAAAGTGGGCAATGCGCGCGAACGATCTTCCCAAAACTGTATGCGGAGCGCAAGTTCGTCTGCTTCTTGCACGGGGGCTGCGACGAAGTCAGAACACCCAGTTTTTAATCGCTAATTGAAAAAAAAAAAGAGGGTCGACCTCCAGGCATCTATCTAGCAATGGGGTCCTTTCAATCAAAGCCAATCCGAGGTCGGCGTCATTCTGACGTAACCGCAAATCCCGCGCAGGAAGCAGACGACGTAACGTACTCTCCGCATATCTTCGATCTAGCGCGAGCTGCAGGTGTCGCGCACCTTTCTGCGGCATTTCCGAAGAGGGGAGGAGTGCGCGTGCGCAGGGGGTGCCCAAGCACGCGCTCCAGAAAATTGTCCCACGAGCATGGCAGCAATGCGAATCGCTTGTTCTTCGCCTGTCGTGTGATTATGGGAGAATCTCTTCAAAAGTCAGAAGAAAGTGCAGGACGCAAAAAAATGCACCCATCCACACGTTCAACTGTTGCACTATTCCGGAGACCATCGCAGCGCCAGAAGCCGGAAAGCTCGAAAGGTATATAAAGGCCGTGATCTTCAATATTCCCACGTAACGAGCTTGCGAACTTCTACTCACGTGAGGGTGAGACAGGACATGATGAGCACCAGCGGAGTATCCCAAGCACAGTTCCCTCACTCGCAAGGTGATCGCGGAGATTGGGACAACGAAGTGGGCGTCACTCGAGGCGATCGCCGATCCACGCGTATGCGACGGCAACAGTCCCGACGTCCAGGAGCACCTTCCACACGGTCGTCGAGGCTTTAGCACGCCACGCTACGCGAACACGACGGGACGCTTGTCCAAGTGGGTTTTATTCACGGTGCGAGTCTAACCCGGTACGGTGAAGAAAGAAATAAAAAAAGAACTGGCCGAAGGCGTGCGCGTGCAAGGCTCTATCGACGGCCGAGTTTCTTTCGTTATCAGGTACTCTGACGACAACGCGGGAGCCCAGCGATAGCACGCTCGCCCCAACCCTGCCACGAACGCTCGTGGAGAGCTGCATGTGCGAATGCACGGAAGCTATTCGACGACGGGGCGTTAACTCGGCCGCATTTGTGGGTGCCGTGAGTTACTGCTGTTCCGCTGATAGCGGAGGCTCCGGAGCTCAGTCGGCCTGAAACGCCTGGCTGTGTACATTTGTGCGCGGCCATTGTGAGACTCGTTTTAAATGGGTCCCCATCGTCACTGACAGGGTAAGAGACGTATGTACTGCCTTCGATCATCTCGGCATCCTTTGTTCGCAATATTTCGATGGTGTCATGGTGTGTTTCTTCTACTACGGACCTGATTGGGACAAATAGTGTTATTAAATAATAATAATAATAATAATAATAATAATAATAATAAAATTGCCAGCGACATTTATCTTTGAAGTCCTGGAATCCATAGAATGCAGTATTTAAGCACTGATCACTTAAATTTGTTTTGAAGACATTGAACAGTAGTATTAGGGAGTGAAAAAGAAGCTATATTTTTATAAATTTTCCCGCTAGAATTTTCTAACTAAATTTAGCGGGAAATGCACAGATAAAAGAAACAAATGGACGGACTGACAGACAAATATTTGGGTTAGTATGTGCCGTTAAAAAGTATTCAACGCCTAAGAAAATCGTCTTCAAGCCTCCCTTAGCTACTCCTCGGCCCACTAAAAAAAACAAAAAAACAAAAAAAAAAAACGAGGTAGCGAGGCAGTTGGCTCGATCAGCCAGGCGAGAGTTCAGCGACGTGAGCACGTCGAACCAAAAATGCGGGCCCGTTTACGCCGGCACATCTGTTGCGGCCACCGACGAACTCAATGGACGTCGCATGGGCACTCGGAGCTACTTTGCGAGCACGTTTCCGGCATTCAGCTGCAGCTGCGTTCCTCTTTCAAACAACACTAAAAAAAAGAAAAACCCTTCCGTGCGTCTGTGTGGTACACAGATCATTCTCACTTGGGTCGCGTGTAGACGCTAATTTGGGCTTCCCTCGAAGTCCTCTGTCACGCAAGTATAACAGCGAGGGCTGCGGAAAGACGTTTGTTGCACGTTTGCTTTCTTACACATTAGGAAAAAAAAATGAAACCACGAC